AGAGAGCTAGAAAATTGGGAGAAGGGAAGCATTTTACATTGGATAAGAATGTGAAGACGTCATATTGAATGGTTGAATGGTTGAGTTTCATTCTCCATGAAACCAGCTACCTTGACAAGATGAGGCAGCCTGTCATGAGTACATTAGATAAAAATGATGCATACATTTCAAAGATGCAAGTAGCTAAAAAATGGGCATAATGGCAGGGAGGGGTAGGGGGTTCATATCAACATGATTTAGAAAATGGGAAAGGTTGTGTCATTTAATTAAAATATGTGCAAATGCCAGTGCAGGAACAAAACACAAAGTCTTGAAACTCAAGACAAAACAAGGGCAGGTAGCTTTTAGTCGTGCAGGTAGCGTTGCAGAGCAATGTGACCAAAATTGAAATGATGATGTTTCTGTATCTCTAAACAGGTGGGATGTTTTGACTACAATATGCTTTAAATTTCACTTTGTCTCCAGTTCCTATTTCAAATGTTGATTTGAGTCTTTAAAACCAAACAATTGGCATCAGTCTGGCTTATAAATGACCTTCTCCTATATATGCCAGTCAAAAACCTTTACAATCTTCTGAGGTCTTGCTCTAACTTCCCTTGCCAAGTAAGGAAGCAATTGCAGGGAATTCTGTTTGTTTTGCTGCATTGATAAGCACTTTTCCAAATTCATTTTTTCCCATCAAGAGAAAGAAGTAGGGGTAAAGGAGAAGGGAAGCAAATGAACAAAAAGTGAAATGCTTCCCTGTGACTTCTTCACTTTTGTTGACCAACATGTCATGGACTTTTCACATATACATGGACAAAACAGCAGCTGTTACATGAGTGTGAGCCTAGTCTGGACCCCAGGCCTGTATTTTTCTGACTGTTACCTTTAAAAAATAAAATAAAATACAACCACTGACAATCTGGAGCCTTTTGTACTGGCTACTACCTCCTCCAACCCCGCTCAAATTCCAATTGCAATTTAAGGATGAAACCCTTTTGACTACAATTGGATGAGGGTTTTAATTAGAGATAAGAGATACAGCCTGCTGATATCAGCTGTAGATCGGCTGCTCACATTTGGAATGGCTCCCACTGACGCACAATACATCATTCGGACTGCATGGACAAGATAAGTTTGTAAGACACACACAGAGAAAAACAGATTGGCTGAGGAAGGATATATCTGTAATTAAATAGATCTTCCAGTGCTTATTATCTGTGGCATGATTCTTGCAAAGAAAGGGGTCTCAGTGAACAATGAACTAGGAATTTTAAAGGAATATTGTTTTTAACTAAAATATTAACTCTGCTTTTTACAAAATTTTAATTCTGAACTAAGCATGTGCACATGATCCCATTTTTATTTTCCTAAATATTGCCATAGATCCGGAAGTTGCCTACTTGATGAAGCTATGCTTGTAGATCACAGAAAACTGAGCATTACATATTCAGATTTGAACTGGGCTTCTTCTGAAGGGTCACTGGAAGGACAGATCCTGAAGCTGAGGCTCCAATACTTTGGCCATCTCGTGAGAAGAGAAGACTCCCGGGAAAAGATGCTGTTGATGAGAGAGTATGAAGGCAAGAGGAGAAGGGGATGACAGAGGACGAGATGGTTGGACAGTGTCATCAAAGAGACCAACATGAATTTGACCCAACTCCAGGAGGCAGTGGAAGACAGGAGGGCCTGGCGTACTCTGGTCTATGGGGTCACAAAGAGTCGGATATGACTTAATGACTAAACAACAACAAGGGTTTCTGAGAAAATCTGTTGTGATATTTGTCCTGGAAAGCTGATGGGAAAATAAAAAAGGAGGATCTGCAACACAGTATAAATCTCGGTGGAGAATTGCTGGCTGGATAGCTTGGTGGTTTAGATATCTGGCTATGGAGACAGAGGATGGGAGTTTGACTCTCCACAGTGCCTCTAGTATGTCTGGTCTTGGATAAACTGCACAAGAGCCAGAGGTTGGGAGTTTGACTCTCCACAAAGCCTCCCATGAGTACAGCTAGTCTGTCTGGTCTTGGATAAGCTGCACATTCCCAGTGCATCCCTGGAAGAAGAGAAGCGTAAACCACTTCTGAGTACTTTCTACGTGGAAAACACTGAAAAGCGTCTCCATAAGTCAGAATGTACTTTATGGCACATTATCATTATTAAGGAGACATCATAGGCATTTGTAGTTGATTTGCATCTTGCAACTTGGCATGCAACAGCAAGTGTCTATGCTGACTTCTTAATTTATAACAATTTGCCACAATGTGGATTGTGTTATCTGTTCCCACTTACAGGATTTCAGCCTGTGATTGTAAAGCATTTATTTGCAAAAATGTATGTCTGAGGGTTGTAAGTGTGGCTCTACATTTACTCAATGTATGTCTGAGGGTTGTAAGTGTGGCTCCACATTTACTCAAAATAAATCAACAGATTTCTTAGGTTTTGCAATAGGGGTAACATTTACTGGATTATTTAATAACAGTCCAGCATCAACAAATGTGTTCCGAGCTTTATCCCCACCTGACAACCAGTCAACTGAGGTTTTCCAATCTTCAAACTTAAAAGGGTTTCCACTCTGAACATACCAAGGGCTGGGCCACTCAAGTGGGGGTATCCAGGTTTAGTAACACTCCTTCCTCTCATTCCAATAGGGTCTCCCCTCGAAAGTCCACCCAGTCACACTCCCAGGTGGGTTCCCCTGTCTTCCGTGGGGTCTCTCAATTCCCCTCTGATGCATCTCCCACATCCTCCATTCCAACCTCTCTCTCTGCTCCCTGTCAACCTTCTCTTTCTCTTCCCTTAACTTCTTCTGCCACTCCTTAGTCTCTTTCTCACCTCCGTATGATGGTTTGGGAGTGAGTTCTCTCCTCTTCCATGCATCCACTTCTTCCTTTGGAATTCTTAGCTTTTCCACTTGCCCCGTCCAAGGATCTTCTATCCAAATCCATTCCCAATTACCCGGTAACTCCCCTTCTCCTCCTTTTATATCTCCCAACCCCTCCTCCACTACTTCCCACCCTTTTTCTCCCATGCCCACCAAGAGAGTCCTGGTCTCTTTAACCGTTAGTTTGTTTAAACTCTTCTCTATGTTCCCCGGGTCTGGTCCGGGCGGTCTTGTCTTCCTGGGTGGGGGAACTGGCGGGGTCTGATTTTCTTTCTCCGAGGTTGGTGGGAGGGATGGCACTCCCATGAGAGGGGTCTCTCTCTCACATCTGGTCTCACAGTATGTGACATTTTTGCCAGGGTAGGATTTTTTTGCTCCATTTGCATATTTAGTGACCTCAGATCGTACAAATGCATCTCATTTCCCCACCTTCACATTCTTTAAAAGGTGCAGGTTAGACTTCTCTGTCTCCATTTCCCACACATTTTCCTTTTTCTACCCCAATGATTTTCCTGGGGGGAAAAAACTGAAGCATTCAAATATACTGAGTAGATGCAGTTGGTCATCACCATCACAGTAACAACAGCAGCAGTAATGACCATTTGGTGGGCGGTGGGGAATGGAAATAATACAAATAAGATAATGGAATTTGAAACTTTTGTTCAATTACAGAGGATCTAGATAACCCAAAATTTTGATTTTATTTGGCTCATTGGAGAGGGAAAGTGTTTATGGATAATTTAAAAAGATTTTCAGCACATTTCCTTTTAAAGTTTCCAGGTGTCAGGGAGTTTGACGAAGTCTCAGGAATTGATGTTCCAGTTCAGCCAATTCTGAACAGGTGCCATATGCCCACCCACGGGGGGGGGCTGGTGATTTCCTTTTAAAGTTTCCAGGTGTCAGGGGGTTTGACGAAGTCTCAGGAAATGATGCTCTAGTTCAGCCAATTCTGAACAGGGGCCATATGCCCACCCACGGGGGGGGGCTGGTGCATTTGAAAGGAGCCACAGACTGGAAACAATTCATCACAAACCACCTTATAAGGTTTGTTATGTGACTTCCAGAACCCTGATTCAGTCCATATTTCTTTCATATTTTGTTTATGGCCATGGCCAGAAAAAGGTTCTGAATGATTGCTCTAGATCTGAGGAGGCAAACTTGAGAGGAGGGGAAAGTTTGATTTTTATTGTATGTAGTGGCTCTAGAATATATCCAGTGTGATACAGTGGACAGAGTGATGGGCTAGGACTTAGGAGGCCTGTGTTCGAATTCCCGCTCAACTATGGAAACTCACTATGCACATGGAACTGGTAAAACAATTCATTAAACAATCCACTTACCTTGAAAGCCCTATTAGGCTCACTGTAAGTCAATTCCGACTTGACAGTGCATAACATTAAGTGACTCTAAAACCTAAATGGCTTTCTTCTTTCCACTCCTAAGTAGTACTAGCCTTCTGTGATTTATACAAAAAAAAAGGTCACTGTAAGTCAATTCCAACTTGACAGTGCATAACATTACATGAATCTAAAACCTAGATGGCTTTCTTCTTCCCACTCCTAAGTGGTACTAACCTGTGATTTATACAAAAATGTATTTATGTTGCACACCTATTTGTTTAGGAATTACCACAGGTTATGAAATCCATATTGTCTGCCTCAATCTCTCTTACGCAACTTTAAAAGGGCCCATGCCCTGATCTTAAATTTTGGCCTGGAATCTCACAAAATTGAGCTGGCAATGCAGTAACCCTGTCCTATGTACTGCAGAAACATTACATGGCTCTGGGGAAGATTTTAAGCCACAGTGTCTCTTTATAGAGCTGGGGATACATATGCATTTCCTGTTTAAGAGAAGAACTTGATTTAGTGGCTGGCAGGACAGGAATGAAGAACTCCTATGTGAGCCTTCAGCCTGGGATGGGTGAGAAGGGGACTCAAATTTTCATTTGACAGAGGCAGAAGTCTTTAGCTCAACTAATCAGGTGTTGGTTAGTAGTACAAATGCTGGCAAATCGTTTAAGCACACTTTATATTTGCAATTTAAAATAAATGTCTTGTAGTTAGATGGACTGCAGACTTTGAATGAATAATAATAGAGCTGTATATTGTTTCCTTGCCATTATCTTTCTCAGCTCTCCGGAGAAGTCCTGTTTCAAAAAGGAATTATCATGGATGATGGTGCAGTGAATAAGGTAGGAATTCAAAATAGCTCAGGCATTCTACTTATTGTTTCTTCTTCTTATTTCATATCAGCAAAGGCCACCTGAGGGTCATGTTTGGGATGACCTTGTGTTTACCTGGAAGGCTTTTTTCATGCTCTGAAAGCTGTAAATGTCACTAGCAGAGATCATAACTGTGATTATCATGAAGCAGAAAGAGATAGCAAATGCACACCTTTTCTTCTTTAGTTCCATTAGCTTATGCTGCTGAGACTTGTTTGTACCTCTGTTGCTTGTTTTCAAAGCCATGTTGTGTTCCATGAAAGGAATGGAAGGAGCACAATAATCAATTGTATTCTGATTTCAAATAATACCAACTGTGTACATTGTTCCTCGACTTTGAGGTTGGCCCTTTGCATAGTGAGAATGAAACAATTGTTCACTTATTTCCTGCTCCTTTCTTGCATAGATTCATCAGCTTGCATTTACCACTTGATTAAGCAAAGCAGTTCCCACCACTCGAAAGAATACAGATCGAATCACAATCTAATTTCAATAAAATGGAGAGGAAAATATGAGATGCCCATGTTGACAGATCTACAGTAGTTAGCAATCTGAGTCCTTTTCTAAGGGTTCCCAGTGGCTCCGACGGGCTTATGGGAGACAAAATAGTTGGAATCTAATTTGAGACATAGTTGGAAGTTGTTCCCCCCCAACAGTTTGTAATACTCTATACTATAATGCTTTATATAGTGTCTGATGGTTTCAGTGGAGTAATTTGCCCTGAAGATCAAGAACCACTGAGCCAGAAGCCCCAGGAAACTATTCCTTAGAGATCCAGAATGGCACTATAGGGTCATACGAAGATTCAAACAACAAGCCTTTTCACTGTCAGGTCAATAACCATGCACTTTTCACTGGGGAATTGAAGTAGTAGGACAGGCTGTTATTGGGGCTAAACAAGTTTGTAACTAAACTTCTCGGTTCCAAACAGGCAAGCTTAGTAACAAATGTTATTCACCTCATGCACTGTTATCAACAAGGTCAGTGGGAATTCTGTTCCAAAAGCCTGAGACATCCAGTCAGGCATTCATTATTATTAGTGGCGTCAGAGCAGATAAAGTCATGTTGCATCCAAGTTCCATGCTGGAGCCATAAAGCTTAAAATCCCCTCTCTTGCACTGTTCTTGCAAACCTCAGTATGCAGCCGAAAGTGCAAAAGGAGACACAGAAGCATGCATTCTGGTCAATGTGGTCTTAGAACTTCATTGCAAACAGAAGCTAGAGCTAGATGCCCTTTTCAAAAAATGTGCACAGCTTTATTGTCAAAAATGTGTCTCGATTTGATAAGACAATCTGATGAAGAATTTTGAATCCCAGTGAGGTTTATTACCCTGAAGTGAGAATAAATCAGGAGACCCTCAAAAATTTGTCTCAAAAATGTGTGTCCTTTGTGAAACAAGCCATGCGCCATGAGAGCAGGCATCGGACAATGGCTGATCCTTGCAAGAGGCACAAACATTCCACAAACATTCCATTCAAACTATTGGCCTTGGAAGCAGCATTGACATAGCAAAATGGAGAGATTGGGGGAGAAGGGACAAAACAAAAGGATGTAGCTCTCCTTTCTTTCCCAACCATCAAACGCAAGAGGGCATTAGCTAGTAATGAAATATCACAATGTTGTGACATTCTTCTGAAGAACCAAACAAAGCCAACCAACTATGGTTGCAATCCTGTTGCTTAGCTGAGTAATACACACTTCAGTAGGCCTAGTGAGTCAGTGAGGATTTGGTGAATCAATTCCTCTATTATTTCTATTGGTTCAAGAGGGCCTACTCTAGTTGCTACTTTCTTTAGCATAGTAAGCTGCAACTAGAGTGTGCCCATTTGAATCAACAGGAGTTATGGAGGGGTTGACTCCCCAATGTCCACTTATTCATTGGCGATACTTTATTGTGATGCACTATGCAACAGGATTTCAGCCAATATGTCTTTGGGTTTGATTTGCATGCTAAACAAGACGGTCAAGGCCTGAGCGACGGCCAGAAAATTAACTGTGGTGGCAATATGTTTTTGGTGGTGGTGGTGCCTGTGAAGTGAAATGTCAACATTGAAAGCATCCCCCACTTTCTCTTTGATATGAAATTGTTCTGGTGTTTAACTTATGGCAGCAAGGAGATGTCAGAGAATGGAAAACCTGTAATTTGAAGAGAATGCTGGGACACTTTTTGAGGTTTCTTCGAGAAATGTTAGCAAAAAAATCCCATCTGAATTTTTCATCCTATGAGTTGAGAAAACATATCAGTTTCTTAGTGGTATTGAGTCCATGGCCCAAATCCTGTTGCTTAGTGCAGTAAATTGTACTACAGTAGGCACATTGACTCAATGAGAATTTGGTGAGTCAACTCCTCTGTAAACTGAAATTGATTCAAATGGGTCTTCTCTAACTGTGACTCATTTTATCATGGAGTAGGCCCATTTGAATCAATTGAATTTATGGCGGAGTTGACTCACTAAATCTCCAATGGCCTTAATAAGATTTACTCTGTTAAGCAACAGGATTTTGGCTATTATCTCTTAATCTTCTGTCCCACTCCACTAAGTTTTATACAGATTGTTGCACATATGCATTTTTCTGACATTTCCAGGTTTTTCATCCTATAGTGAATGTACAGATACATAGAAATAGAACATAGATTAGAAAAAAAGTATAAAATACAATTTTTGTGATCATGATAACCCCATCAAGAATCCTCTTCACTCATTAACCCAAGTATGCACTGTTGCACATTATTACAGTAATCGGTGCAAATAAAGTAAAATGAGAATTGTAAGGAACTGTGAAATTTGTTATGTGATCAGCAAAGACCAGGAAATCCCCAAAATAAAGACTGTTTGGAGTCTTTAGGCTTCATTCCTGATGTGGCCTATAGTTGTTTTTTTAAAGGATCTTGAGGTCTAAAACATCTGGAGGACCAGTGTTTCTGCAACACTGTCCTAGAGTTTGATCGCTGGTCACCACTTTTAGAGGTTGTAATTGGCGATGTTGGTGACTGGGGCTCCCCAGCCCTATTGGTTAAGCTTGAGTTGTGGGATTGAAATGCTTGGGAAGTCAAAAAGAGGAATGGGAAGTAAACCTAGGTTTAATCATGTGGTGGCCATACGAATTCTGTACTACACCAGCCTATTTTGTTTTCTACTTTGCTTGGGGATGACTGGCTTGAGGCAATGTACGCACTCAGCATAATCAGGTTCATGCCTTTTGGGTAGCAAATGACAACAAACAAAGATTTGCACCTTTCAGAAGCAATTTTGGCCCTATGGGTCAAAGCCCCAGTTATGACTCCGGTGCTAGTTGTTACCACTAGCTTTTTCAGACTTTTCCTGAAAATGTCAGTTGAGGAATGGGTGGTGGCACTACTTTGCCTGCAAGGACAAGGGAAACAAAAGAATGCACACTGTTTCTAATCTCCAGACTCCCAAATTTCAATCTAAACACTCTTTTTTGGACAACTTTAAGCTCTGTTCAGGATTGGAGCTTGCAATTGTTTTGGTCAAATGTCCTGTGTTTCAAGGCAATATCAAGGGGTTTTTGTGTAGGTGGATATACATTAAACATGATCTCCCAAGCAAGATTCTGTACATCAAAAATGTTACTCTGAATTGTGCTGAAATGTCACTATATGTTAACCTGATTCTTGTGAAAGATCCTTGGGGAAAAGGTAGACGGTTTCTAGGGCTGTCTTGTTCTTGATGGATGGAATAATGTCTCTTTGTCTTCTCGCAAGAGAATTGTCATATGTTCTGTATAATTTATCATTTATTTTGATGAACATATGTCACATGTCCCTGTTCTTGTTACTGTCCATTCATATCTTCGTTGGAGCCTGTATTTTGATATTTTAATTACCAAGCCAATTTGTGTGAATGTGTCCATGTAGTCGATTTGCATATCTTGGAAACTCTCCATCCCCCACCAAGGAAAGGTTGGGAAGAGAACACATCTGAAATACTTTCATATTCCATTTTTAATGTGTTGAATAAGTGGGGAATAGGAGTTTCAGTAGAAATGTAGAAGGATGATTGCTTATAGCTGCATTTTTATCTAAAGCTAGTTCTCTATGTGCTAAACAAAGTGTAGAAGCAATTGGAAAATATTCTAGGTCCCAAAGGAGGACTGGATTTCTTTGGAAATCTTTAGTTTTACGTCAGTTAAGAACTGTAGTTGAGTATTTGCCATAATATTAATGACAGCTGGAAAAACACTCCATGTTGCAGTTGCTTCTTGTAACAGTTCTGTGAGGTAGGCTACGACGAGGGGGTGCTAAACAAAGTGTAGAAGCAATTGGAAAATATTCTAGGTCCCAAAGGAGGACTGGATTTCTTTGGAAATCTTTAGTTTTACGTCAGTTAAGAACTGTAGTTGAGTATTTGCCATAATATTAATGACAGCTGGAAAAGCACATAAAAATCCATTAATCACATATCAAGTATTCAAAGTCCAGGCAATATTTGTTTTCTTTAGTCTTATGAAGGGACTATTCATTCATTCATTCATTCATTTTGGTGAACTTTTGCTCATGGAAAATACTTTACACTCCATGTTGCAGTTGCTTCTTGTAACAGTTCTGTGAGGTAGGCTACGACGAGGGGTCTTAATTTGCATTAGATCAATTAACATGTTTTCTGCATCCATATAACTGAATGTGGCTCTCTCACATCATAGGTCTGTACGCTACTCTGCTGAGAAATTAAAGGATAAGCATTCACTATCCATTCTCGTGTGGGGATGTTTGGGTTCTTCAATACTATCCCCTCCAGATACAAATAGAAGGCAAATAGGAGAGTCCAGATAGTTGACTAAAGTCCCTGGATGTATATGTGATGTGTCATTCAGTTGGAACTGACTTATAGTGATTTTAAAAAGGTAAAGGTAAAGGTTCCCCTTGACAATTTTTGTCCAGTCATGTTCGACTCTAGGGGGCGGTGCTCATCCCCGTTTCCAAGCCATAGAGCCAGTGTTTGTCCGAAG